TGCCAGTTCCAGCAGTCCTGCCGCACAGAAGGCGCTTGACACCTGTCAGCGATTTGTGACTCGAATGTGGCAAAGGCCTGCAAAGCAAAGCCGAAAGCATCAGCAAAAGGGAGAATACATTTAAAAACCTATATATATATATATAGCAATGATAATGATAAAACCATCTTGAGGGGTCTACTTCAATTCCAAAAGTGGAGAGTATCAAATCTGGCATCAGAGAAAGGGGGTCGGGGATATGTTGGGATGGTTGCGGGGAGTCAACATCCAATGCAACTGGCAGGCAACAAAAACTGTTCGTAGCTGGGACAAGTTCGCCTAACTTGCCATGAAAAACATTCCAAGCTCAGCTACTGCAAGACTGCAGTGCCATTCTTCACGTCAAACATCACCACAGAGCACATCACCACGCTACACCTCACCAAACCTCACATCGCTACGCTATATAGTATATCACCCGATCGCAAGTCACCAACATCTGAAAAGTCACCACAAACGACATCACCACAGAGCACATCTGACCATTTTTCTCAACACGTCAAAGCTCACATCACCACCTCGTAGCACCACGAAAGTAAAACCCCACATCGCACCACTTCAGAGTCTCTGATAGGAAGAATCTCTCATCTCTCTGACAAGATCCGTTGCAGATTGCGAGTCTTCCAGGTGGTGTTGGATTTCAAGCAGGGCAGAACAAACATCTGGTGGCACTTTGGCCAACCTCAGCAAATGTCCAGTTTGGGCGCTCGCCAGCACGAGCTTCACCCCGGGCCCCGAGCCGAAGGCGAAACGAAGACACGGTGAAAACAAGCACAACAAGCGCACATGATCCACATACCCCCCCGGACCGCAGCGCAGAATGTTGTGCAAAGAAAGACCTTGCCCTTTCGATGTTGAAGAACATATCCTTTTCAAAACGAAGGGTGCCATTCTTCTCAAGTGGTAGTTGAAATAGTTCGGGAGAATCTGTTTCCGTTAGGGGCCTCTCTTCTTGGGGGTCATTAGACCTTCACAACGAACAGCCACTAATGCACTAAAAAGTCGGTCAAAAGAATCCCTCCAGTGATGGCACCAACCACACCTTAGTGCCCATGAAGGGGAACACGAAGTGTTCAATGCCTCACAAGCAAGACAAAGGAAAACTCCTACTCAGTCAGTGTGTTTGCGTGTGCTTTGTGACTGAATGGTTTCACACGGTTTCACTGGCGTTGGTTCCTCAAGTCACCGATGATGGATTTGATCACTCAAGCAAGACGTGTCGATACTGAGTGAAAGCTGCAGCTGGTCTCTCTCTCTCTCTCTCCTTCTTCTTCTCAACAAACCCAGCGATGCCCCTCACTTTCCGCCACCTGATGGAGAAGGACTAGTCCATAAAAGAGAGGTGCATTTTCTGGATTGCCCAACGAGGCCAAATATATAGACAATGTACACCTGGATTGTTGACCCAAGTTTGACCATGTTCTTTGCTCTGCAGAATCCCACAAACAGCCCAACCCTGGTCTTCAAGACCCTGCTCTCTTTTCCCCACAAGTCAGCAGCATGATGCCTCTTTACAGCAAAAGATGGCCTCAAGTTCTAAAACTCCGGTCAATGGAAGAACTCGCAGCAATTCCATGACCCAAACATGGAGAACCTCATCCGATTCTTTGCGGGTGCTGACGACTCGACGACTCGTTGGTTGGCGATTCTTCCCCCCAAAAGGAGTGGCATCTCCTCATGTGCTCATGTCCAAACTCCTGTCTCCATCACACTCTTTCTTCAACCAGGACGGCTCTCCCATCGACTGTACACGGAGTGGAGGGTTTGCTGGGCACAGCTTGCACTGATGGCCCAGGAAGGTCAGGGGATCAAGATCTCGTTGTCCGTGGGGAGGTGACGAGAAACCAAATACAAGAAGGCTCAGGGTGTTGCTTTCATCCTAGCAAGCGGATTTCTCACGAAACCGAAGACCTAGCATTTCTTTGGTCAGTCCCCTGCGAATTTACGCGAAGGTTGAGCTGGGTTGCTTGAAATCAGGGAGACAACTTCTGGTCTTTCTTTTGCAGAAGGGCAACCCGTGGCTTCTGGCTACCGGCTCAGACCAGCATGTGAAGCTGGACACCCTCCGTCTTGAGGCACACTTCAGAGAAGCTGTAGATCTTCTTGGGGAGCCTGTCGATCGCCCTCCGTGCAGCTGGGTCCTGCCCCGCTGTACAACACGCATCATTGGTCAAACAGAACAAAGGCCCGATCAGATAGAATATCAACCAACTCTCATACTTGTGCACATGCGTGCGTAAAAACATGCGTGTGTAAAATCTATTTGTGTGCACAAGAACAACAAGAAGAAAAGAGAAAACCGCATGTTCTGCTTCTGTGAAATGGATAGAAACACAGAGAAGCTTCGTTCAGGATCTCAAGTTAGATGCTCCAAGCTGGAACAAAGCTCAGATCACCTTCTGCTAACGAGCTGCCGCTGTAGCGTTCCATAACAAATCATGTTTCGTGTTTCTACACACATCTGTGATGCATATAGGTACAGCATCTGTGTTTGCATCGAATTGTACCATGTAGCGCAAAAATAACCGTATGTACGGATGAAAAAACCAACATACTGTAGCTCGAATTCTCATGAAAGGGTGTGTCTCAGAATAGGTGGACATGCACAAACAAAAACACGGGCAAGTGCAAATAGATGATGAAACCATATTAGGGTTCAATTGGAGTGTGAAAAAACTGATGGCCACTTTGGTAGGGGCCTGTAAAGCCTGGTTTGGCAGTTTGGCAAAGCTTTTTTGCGGCTCTTGGCTCAGGGCCCGCCAGGAAGCGGAGTCCAAAACAAAATCTGTGGTTTATGTGGGTCCAAGCAACGGGAGTGGACCCTTACTGTAAAGGACTCTTCTATTCAAAGCTGGTGGGAGAACCAGTGGTGTGGATCCTTTGATTACACCGCCTCCTGTTCATTAGATCTATATTTTGTGCTTAAAACGTCGTTTTGCAGCACTGCTCCACCTGTCCCGGAACTTGCTGAACCTGTACCCAATGAGATTTGTTACTGCCATTGTTCATCCGGATTTTGCCCATTGCTGTGTTGCCGTTCAGGTATTGGTGCTTGGTTAACAAGGATGTCGGCAATTTCATGAAATTTCACCCATAGTCGCGTGTCATCGCATTTGCGATTTCTACTGGCACACCTTTGTGACCTTTGTGGGATTTCGGCACCACCTGGGGACTTGCCACCGAGCACAGCGTTGCATTTTGGCCATGAAATCCACAGCTACTTCTCTGTCCAGGGAGCTTTGCGCCATGAAATCTTCACGTGAAATGGGAGAGAGTACAGGGAGCGGCTCGCACCTTTGGCGTTTCGTTGAGTGCGTCGAGTTGCTCTCGAGTTTCTCGGCTGGCCGACGGAGGAGAGATGGCCAACACGATGGGGTCGGTACCTTTCGAAGCCAGACTTGTCCTCAACTCGTGGCGCGTCGCTCTACCTTTGTCGCCGGCCGTTCCGGGTTGTACCATGACTATGCTCAGTCTGTCTCCGGTGTCCTGCACTGAAAAGAAAGGGCGAATCGGTCGTTCAAGAATCCCAAAAAGACCTGTCCAACCCTTTCAAAGCAAGTCTGACTGACCAAAATGACACGGCTCACACAGGTTACAGGATGTTACAGGTACCTGCACTGAAATCAGCCCTGCCTTCATCGCTGGGATCGTGTCCCTTGCCATCGCCAAGCTGAGCGCCCTGCTTTCGATCATTTTCCGCTCAAACTCCTCTGCACCATTCAATGGTGGGTTCAACTGTGAGGTGCTGAAAAGGAACAGTTCACAAGTAATTAGTAAACAAAACTGGTCGAGTTATTCACAGAATGACTGAAACAAATGTTCTTTGCTGGCACACCTGCTTCAGGCACCCCAAACCACAAATGTTCACACATCCGTATTGAAGCTTGGAGCTTATACCACGGCAAACTTGTTTGTTTGTGAATGTCGTGGGCCAGGTTGGAACCATTCTCCACGATCCCCACAGTCTACTGAGTCTACCGGGTGGCCTTGTCCCGAGCACCCACAGAGCCTTGGAAGAAAAACTATGGACGCGCTCCGCTGACCTTTGCAGGGTGTGCCCTCGCTAGTTGGAACAGGTTCCAACTCCAAGCATGATTGAGGGGGGTGGAGGGGGAGATGCAGTGCCAGTTTCAGTTCACCAGTCCTATTGGTGCATTTTGGGAAAGGACAGTTCCGCCTCCAGCAGGATACACTATATATATATACTATGGATGGATGAGACCTATATGATATGCAATATCTGATATCTGTAAACGTATCGACTTCTTCAGTCCTTCATGCACAAGGGGTGCTTCTGCTGCGCGGACTTCCAAACACCCACACACTCTTCAGAGCAGATTGGATGGTCAGGATTCTCAATCGGCATGTTGAACTCCATGAAGCACTTTGGGTTCTTGAGCAACAAGTTGGCGATCTCTTCCTCAATTGCATTTCTTTTTCGCATGCGAGAAGATCCACGCCAATCACTCACTGTGGTGTTCTTTATTTTCGAACAGCCAGTTCCGTGAAGGTTCATCACAAAACCTGCATGGCTCAGTAGGCAAAACCTCCTCACAGCAGACCCAAGATAGAGAGTTTGACATCGTTGTGCACCCGGCTCGGTTGCATTCAATCAATCGCTCTTGGCGCCCCGTCTCCCCCAAGGAATCATGACTGCGAACATCACTTTCGAAATGGACAGGACAAGAGCTAGGAAGTGCCATGAAGCATCCTTGATTCGCACCATCTAAACTGCTGGAGATCCAAGTGGACCCTACAAGCACCAAAAGGGTTTTGGGTAAGCGCTCATGTAGTGATCGATGAATGACCCCCCTCCATGTGGAGTGTAAAACCTCTTCAGGCCTGGAGGGTTGTTCATCATCCTTCATCAACAGTTAATAACCCATGATCAGCCCATTTGGGGAGGTCTTATTCATCATCCAAAACAAACCTACAAAAACAAGTGGAATCCAAAAATATGCTCAGCAATCCCAGAATTCTTGGCAGTACATCTCTCCTTCCTTCGCGCAAATGTTATCCTCCTGAATATGCATGCTCTTCGGGAACCATTTCTCCATGACGCCTTTGCACTTCTCAAAGTCAAGGTTTGCACCTCACTTTCCGCTAAATGCTTGATGCAAAACTTTGCTGGCCCGGAATCGGGAAATCAGTGCACGGACAATGTTCCTTCTGCTTTTTGTTGCTTTTTTTGTTGTTCCATGTTGTTCCCATATGCAATGGCACCCTGTGGTTCCAGGTTCACGGGCTTTTGAGGACCAACGGCCACATCTCGTCCGTGGTGCCAACACCGATTCCCGGTCGACCCCTACGACTGGTACTTCAAGTCTTCTCCGGGGTGGTCGAGTCGTTTTATGTTTCCTTTCTGTGCCACCCCGCCTCCTGTGCCGGAGAGTCCCAATTGTCCATCCCAACCGACAGAACAAAAAAACAAACAAACAAAAACCTGTGTCGAGAGCAGCGCAAACCTGTGGGTTCAAGGCGCTCATGGCGGCGCAAAGCGCGGAACCGGAGCACAGGCTATACTCCTCTTGCGGCAGTACGGCGCCACGCACGCGTTGTTCGCGGAACGGGCCGTTGGAATTGAATGGCTTCGCCTAAGACTTCGCAAAGCTGGATGGAGGCCCAACATCTACGCCATAGGGATCCCACCAACATCTCCACAGTAAGGTCTCGTCACATCCGTTCCTTTCCCCTCTCCTTGTCGAAGCCTCCGACTCGATTCTGGCACTCGCTTTGGCAAAAGGCATCCATGGACTTGTGGGTCCCAGCCTGGTGGCCAGAGTGGTGCCCGGTAGCGCCTGTTTTGGGATCCAAATCACTCATCCATCGAAGTCAGGGTGAGAATGTGGCAAGGGCCCAGTCTTCCACACAAGGGCTGATTGGCTTTGGCAGGGAAACCATTCAAATCAGCAAATGGAAGATGGAACATTCCAAGAAAGTCATCATGCTCTGGTCATAGTCATGTTCCACCCTTATCTGCTTGAGTATGACTTGTTCGCTTCAACATGTCTAAAAAGGATTCCTCTCGGCTCGTTTCGGAGCCGGAGTAAAACAGCTTAGTCGAAGGGCAAAGACCTCTCTTGGGGGTGTCTATCCCTGCCTGAAGGATCCCAAACCACTCTCCAAACCAACTCCAAAGCTCGTTTTTCAAAGCGGTCTTCCCAAAAGCGGTCTCCGGGTTTGCCAGCCACCGACATCCACCGGTCTTCCCATGGCGACATGGCGAATTGAGCTCCGTATCTATCCGTATCTATCCGATTGTTTCAATTAGTTGCTTTCTGCTTCGTTCGCTTGGTCCTGCCACCACGGCGGTTTCCAGTGTGAAGAGAGTAGAATGGCACCGTTCACACCTCTCCACGATGTGCCAAAAACAAAAGGACTCAAGGATGTGTCATCTACTTCTGAAACGCAGTTGACACCCCTAAGATCTTCACCACCATGAGATCCCCTAACAAAAAAGCAAGAGGTCTACACTCCCTGGAACTAACATGGAAGTGGATGGCACCCTGTTTGTATTCGGATTTCATGGTCTTCCAACCACTCACCCATACCAACCACGTAGCCATTTCAGTTTCTCAATGGACCCGTGGACCTGTCCGGAGTCAGCGAAGTTAGGAGCTGTTCCAAGCTCTTCGGACACCCCAAAATGGAGGACACGGTACGCCCCGTGTCCTAGTACCGAACTCGTGTGGTGCCTAACTTGGGAGGGGCCCGAGGCCGGGGTGTGGCCCGAGGCCGGGATGTCAGGGTGTCGGTCGAAACCCGTCCTCCACCCGATGCATGGCTTTCTCCTTGAAGGACTGCACCACCGGAGACTTCACGATCTCCTGCTGAAAAGGAACCAAACATTTCCCAGAGGCATCCGCAGGTGACCTTTAAATGGGTGGAGCAACGCAATATTTGGGTGAAGAAACGGCTAGGCTATACCCAATGAATGTTTTTTGGACCCCAATGAATGGCTTCACGAAGGTCATCATACTGACGTACATCCAATGAACGCACAAGAAAGCCTACCACAAGTGTTCGGACGCATAGAATCACGCGAGGAGGCTTCCCAAAAATGCGATCAACCAGTCATTCCAACGAACACTGGCTGAGTCGGCAGGTCTCTGACGTCTCCGGAGTCGTTCTGCACATGCCCATGCAGCTTCGGTCTAATCCGTTTTGGCTTCCCATGTTCTCTGCCCCCATTAGCAAGCGAACGAACGAACAAAGATTTGGAGTCAAGACTAAGACCTTCTGGAACAACAGGTGACCTGGCTGGATGATCTTCCACCCCAAAGACAAGGTCACCGCCAAAAGCTCTTATCACAACGGGTGCCGTTTGGCACTGGTTGCCAAGACCCGTGCCCCGTTCGGCCCGTAGGGGCGTGGTCAGCTGAAATCTCTCCTGCACGACCGGATCCTTCACATACTCCAGGGCTTCCAGCATCCCCCAGGCAGCCAAGGCACCGAAGTTCTTCACGTCCACCGCTTGGCCACAATCCTGACCCACCACACCACCTCTGTCTCTTTTATGGCAGGGTGGTTTGGTTCGAGGATGTTCGAGGTTGGTTTGCATGGGACGTTCGGGAAGGTCCGGTTCACTCAAATTCCAGAGGTCAGCTGAAAGCAAAAGGAAATGCCTCCGAAGCCCTAAGCCTTCATGTCGATCCCACCTACCTGACGCCAGGTGTTCTCGTTTTGAGGCACGGCCATCAGGCCATCTGGTCGTCCAAGCAGACGCTGAAGTCCCATTTCGGTCCTGGTAGATCTCTTGGCCAATCTTCAATGCATCCAAGCAATGGCTGGAAGTCTCAAAGATGTCCTGCCCGGGATCTTCGAACGAGTTCCGTTTGGTAGGAACGGTGTGTTTTTATGACACGCATGAAAACTTTGAAGAAAACATGGAATATGTCAAGAGTGCGAAGAGGATAATCTAAAAAACCACCTTCTTGAAGCCAAAGACTCCTTGTAGAGGGAGCATTCTTTCTTGGTCCTAATCCATCTTCGGAAGATCAAAAGTACTCCCAGCCGGTCGACGTGGCAAGTATCCACATCTGTCGATCACATGCAAGTTTTACGAGTTCTACACCACCCTGACCAGGTCTGACTGCAGCATGTTTCGGAGCGCTGGAAGACAGCCCGTGTGTTGTAAGTTGTCGTACACTTCGTTTAGATGCAATCTTGGCAATAAAATGGTACGCGCATGATACAAGTAGACATCTTTAATGCCGGCCGACTGCTGAACTGAAGATGGTGGGAACCCTGGCGAGTTCCTTGCTCCACATGAGACGCCAGTTGTTGCTTGGACCCGAAGAAGAAGATTGACGTCTCTTGCTCGAAAGCCACTGGTCTTGAAGAGTAGTGTTGCAAGGGTCCTTCTTGAGCTTCCATGTGAATCTTTGTGTTATGATTGCTAAACAAAAAAGTTAAGACAAGGCTCCAGACTAACAGGGATCCTCTTCTACATGAACAGGCTGAGTCTGATGTTGTGGTTGCGGGTTGTAGTATGACATCCCTGCAAACATCAAAGGCGCCCTGGGAAGCTGTTGGCCGACTTGAAACGCACATCTGCGCCTGACTGTTGTCATTGATCCATTGGATGGCACCCTTCAGATCGAACTGAGCTTGGACAACTCCGAAGCCCAACACCGCCAGGCGCCACATGACGAACAGGCAACAGGCGAGCAACAGGTAAAACGGGTCACAACAGTGGAAAAGCGGCTGCGGAGATATCTTTCGGAAGAAGTCTCAGGGTTTGGGGGCAAGTGGTTCAGAAAGTAGGTGAACATTGGTAGTGAACACCACCAGATTGCAAATTCTTGAGGTATTTATTTCCCGCAGATCCGTTCCAAATCAAGAGGTCCAATCCGGTGATACCAGTTTGGTCTTGCAGTGTCCATGAGGTGTTCCACATGTTGCAAACACCTAGCAGCTTGCACCATGTATATGAACCGAAAACAACGTTCAATGTTGATCTGCTGAATCGTGTCCATGGTTCCTCTGCTCCACCTCTGCTGGGCTCCCCGCTTAGGCCACACGTTTCAGGCCGTTGTCCAACTTCCTGGAGTCGCACACGTTTCAGGCCATTGATGGACGCGATGGACGCCGAGGGTTGTGGAAGATTTCCACTTGGATTGGTCCCGAGGCGAGTGGGCCAGGCGAGTGGGCAAGTGATAGAAAACCACTCATCGTGAACAAGAAGCTACTAGTAACAAGTGCAACGCTACTATATATATATATATATTCCGACGGACTGAAACTTAGAATGCTGGCACGTTTTCCAAAATAAAGGTAGAGGAATTTAGAATGCTGCCCAAACCTACAAAATCAGATAAACTTAGAATGCTGGCCCTGACGGCATTCTAAGTTTCAGTCTGTCGGTGACAGTCCATGGAAAGGTATCTCAAAAGCCTCATGTTTACCTATATACCTGTTCAAACATATATATAGTGCATATTATATACATATTGTAAAATATTTCAGCAGACTAAGTGTAGGGTCAATTTTGCAGATTAATTGCATATAGTCAGGCTTTCATGCGCAAAGCTGTTTCAGCATTCTAAGTCTGATGATAAATTTGTAGGTTGACTGCATACAGTCAGCAAAAAGTCACCAAAAAGTGACTAAAATTTGTATGGTTTGGTCCTACTTGATCATCTTCAAACGTCTTGCCAACGAGACAAACCGCATTCTTAGCTATAAGTGAACACTCTCCATGCTCAGAAAGGTACAGCAAAAAGGGTATCCAAAAAGTACGCGGCAGGGTCCGGCGCGTACTTTTGGATACCCTGCCCGGTTCCAAAGTGGCCTTCTTAGTTTCAGTCCGTCGGTATATATATATATATAGTAACAGGGCATGGTAACGGGCAGCTACTAGGTGGAGGCCATCACAATGTTGGAGGCCATCGCTAGTAGGTTGGAGGCC